TTATACATTTCCAAGTTTGCGAGTTCAAATATTTATTGCTTTACATTTAACTAATAGTAATATTAGTTATATAATATTTTAAAACATATTTTCGTTGAAAATTCGAGAGTACATAAATCTAAAATTGATAAAAGTCGGCTTTATTTATTATTTGATAACAATCACATTTTAATAATACGCAAGTGAAAAACAAAGACAGCTCTTAGTTTTTTTTATTTTAAATATTAAATTTAAATTTGTATTTACTTTGCATCCTGTACCTTTCATAAAACTTACGAAGAAAGCGTATAAATCAGTGATCAGATTTTACTAATGTGTACACAGTACACGTCAATTACAATAGGCTTAGTTTTTTTTACCGCTGTGCAAAATACGTGCTTATGAATTTATGCATTTGAAATAACAATTACTAAAAATAATTAGAATGTATATTTGAAGATATGAAATTATAAAATAAAATGAATAATTTCTATGAATTGTTGGAGTGTATATTTGAAAAATATGTAGTAGGTAACTGGTAAATACTTGTATCATATTATGTTTGTTTAATATCAGTTTAGTTAAGTACAGCTAAAATTGTCCACGTCTTGGGTTTTTTTTATGAATATTATAACATAAGAACTAGAGATTTCTGATCAAATGTAAGACAATAATATATATTTTTATTATTTTAATAATCACCGGAACATGCCCGAGGAATTATATTACCCTGCTTGTATGCTAAAAATCGATAAACTTACCGAAAGCATAGTTATTCACGTTTCTCGTCTAGCAAGGGAAAATATTCAATAAGTAACAACCTAAAAACCTTGAAATATCGCTATAAATGTAAATTGAAAACTACCCCTTAACACATTATTTGCGAGTTGGCCTCGGCCCGTGTTCCGTTGATAATTTAAAAATATTCAATTAACTAATTGTTGGATAAGCACACACGGTTCAGTACATGCACTATAAATCACGTACTGCTGTGCAGCGTGCCACTATTCCCATGTATGAAACAGAACCCAGATTATAATTTAATTTTTGTCGAAATATCGTTGCGTTTGTAAGTGATTGCTTTTTTGGTCAAAAAAAGTTTGACTATACCTGAATAATTTTTTATGGTATTTTTCCTTCGCGAATTCTTTCTTACCTAATCAATGGTTTTAAAAGTGAAACAAATGCCCGTATTTCATTAGGTAATATAAACATATCCAATAATATGCCATCGTAATAGTATGATAAGTGTAATGCGATATTGAAAATATCGTTGTATATGTTACTTCATCGATATTTGATTTTCTACTCATGCTTTTCGGTTATGTACTACCATATTATTTCAGCATAACACTTTTCAACCATAAGTATTTCTATACCATTCTACAATTTCGAATTGCATTAAAACCATAAAATACCACTAATATGTCATATATAAATATATTTTTTTAGCCTTACAATAGAGTTTATTTTACATTCGAAGAAGGTTTTCTCAGAGTATAAGAAAACTATTAATGGTGTAGTTCTGTTATATTTTTAAAAAAAATGTCTTGTTATAAGTATACCATGTATGTATAAGATGTATGTGAGTTTGTTTAACGACAGTTTAAAAAATATTTGACATCTATTATAATATTATACTAATAACATAAGTTGTGAATTAAGTTCAAGAAAGCTCAATAAAAAATAAAATTGTAGATAGTTCTAGGGAAAAAAAAGTTTCTAAAATTAACAGTCAACAAAAAAACAATTCGTCAACAATAATTAGATAATTGTATACAACTAATAACATATTATGCATTTTTAAGGGTCTAATATTATATAACTTTAAAATTTAAAAATAATAATGATAACAACAAATAACAGATATTTTCTACCTCGAAATATTAATAAACAAATAAGAAATAACACATTTTTAAATTGTTACAACAAGTATAGATACGCTAAAAATATAATTTAACTTAACAAAAATAACACACCATATATTACGATAAATTAGATTATATCTGAATATAATGTTATTTGCCTTCAAATGCATAAATTATTTTAGTGTTTTTTAGTAAATCACCCAAAAAACACATGTAATGGAAAACGTTATTAATAGCAATAAATGAGATCAATCAGGTACAATATAAGTATATATTTATATATAATTATACTGTTTGTCTGTGACTAAGGGAGTTAGGTCAAGTATACAATTTATTTTGAGACCATATTACAAGTACAAATACTGGTCGTTCTTTTGTGGGCCAGAGTCACCAATCTGATGCCAACAAAAATTTTTGTAATACCTACTTTTTTTTGAGAAGTATGAATTTTTTTGGATAAAATATGTGGAGGGGTGAAAGATTCCAATAAAAACAGTACTTTAAGTTTAAACAGTTACTGTTAACATATCATACATTTTCAAATGAACATATTTTTAAAAAATCGCAGTGATAATAATACAAAAATTATATAATATGCATAATATAAAGTAATGTATAAATTATAAATATTATCGTTTAATACTTTTAAGTGCAAACTATTATAGAATTTTAGGACGATTTCTTTAAGTTTTGTAACATCAAATAAAAACTTAATATATTTTTAATTTGGTATAGTACTAAATGTTGCAGTTGTAAATTATTTAAATAATAATTTAGTCTAAACTCATCAAAGGGCAAAGACTATAAGCTATGATGTAATTTATCTAATTAATTATGCGATTTATACTATGCACTTATATATTATTAAATAATACTGGGAAAATCTTATGGTAACTAAATATACAATCAATAAACTTGTCCCAAATTACATTTTGTTGTATGCTAAAACCAATAACTAAATAATTAATTAAATATAAATAATCCAATATTTATGTTGAAATTAAGTTATTATTTTAGTTCGTTGTTTGAATCAATAATTGAAAAATAACTTATTACATTTTATTTTATTGTTTTGTGTTAAGAATTAAGGTAATATAGATGCACTTAAATACCCATGATATAAGTAAATTAGAGAGACAATTAATTACTATTGAAATCTCATTAAACCATAATTGGGTAGCACCACACTATCCCTGGACTATATATAGTACATAGGGTCCAAACATTGTAATTGCAATTTTACTCATAATCATAAACAGTACCTTACATAATAGAATCATTATTAATTTCCAAAAAGTTATAATTAACTGTATATAGGTCTTAGACAAAATTCATAGCAATATAATTGTACACTTCTTCAAAATTTTAATAATTGAATTATCATTTTAATTTTCATTTATAATTAACAATTAACTTATTTTAAAATAAATTTGTAAATAATACTTATTATTGTGATTTACTTAGTTATTCTTTCCTACATTTCGTTATTGTCTTTGTAAGGATAATCGTATTTGCTGACCTATTCTTATATGTAATAATGAAGACAGTCGACTTTTTTTCATTTAAAGTGTTCATACATCATATAATAATGTAGATATACTATAGGAAATGAGATAACTGATGTACTTTATATATATACTTCTATATTAACTTTATTTTTATTTTATTTTTGCTTAAAATAATCTAAAACCTGAAAATAATGAATATATTTTTCTAATTTTTCAATCCTATATTTATATAACAATATTAAAAATCATGTGCAAATATTTACATAAAAATATAAAAGTTTATTATGTAATTAATGAAACTTTAAGTTGCGTCAAAGAAATAGGAAACATCAAACATCAATTAATTAAATTACAGTGGAAAAAAAATAAATAGAATAATTACTTAATTATAAATAAAATCGCATTGTTAATATCCACCTGATAAAATATAAATAATATAACGACATTAAGATGAATTGCCTCTGAAGAAAAAAAAGTAATTTTACATTTCTCGTTTTCAACGTTTGTTTTTGTGCTAAGATAATTAGAGCTCTTGGAAATTAAGCTCGGCGAAAAACGATTCAACTGTTTTTGCAATTTATTCTTTTTAATTTTTTTTTTTTTTTCACTAACCAGTAACCACTACAATGGGAACGAGTAGTCTTTGCTTACAATGCGATTGTTATAACGATTCATCAATATATATTATACCATATATGAATAATATTTAACCATACAAGAAATGAATAATTCAAAAACGTCATTGCGATCGCTTCTTTCGGAACAGTTTCGTTATTAGACACATCTATTACAACCATCTGTAAAAACCATGGTTTACTCAATTATACAAGGCAGGTATTTTATTATATTATTTCGTGTCATTAGCAAGACATATAGGGTAGTTCATAAAATATTTCCAGCTCACGTTTCCAATGCCCAGGCTTACAATTCTTCCGATCATCATTCCTTAGCGCAGATTCTTAGACCCCCAACACTCACTTTTTCAATGACCAGCTTTGTATTGTTTGCTCGACGTAATAAAGTCATACTTGTTTGCAGTTGTCTTCTCCTCGTTCCATGCCACTAAGGGATTGCGACTAAATATTACTGCTGCAATACTGCATATTTTTATGATATATCTACGTCCTACACTGTATTACTGCCATTCATTATACTTTAATTGTTTTCAGGGTTAAAACGATATCGAAATTCACATGATTCTGGTGAATAGGAGGGGAGGGAAGCACAACTAGCTCGAAGTATGACACCGTAGAGTACTAAGAATGTGTATGTAGTATAATATTATCACTAACAACAATTTGCAATGTATATGTTACATGATATAATACGTATGAAATAAAAATAAAAACCGACGAAAAAATAACGAATTTTCAAATCTCTAGAAAATACCAAAGTAAATAATAATAAAACGAAATACGATGTTTATGCAGTAGTAGTGGGGATTGATTATATTTTCGGGGAGGATCGAGTCAATCCTGGGGGGATTTGATGTAGGACCCCTGCCAGACCTGAGCCGCCCCGCAGCGCTCAGCGCACCGAACGGCCTCTCCGCCGCAGGACGACGGACGATGGGATAAAATTGGTTTCGTTTACCCGACAGACAAAAATATAATAACCGTTCATATACCGTTATTTGTGTTTACAGGGTGTTCGTACCAGAGTCACGGGGGCAGCGACAAGAACGGCGCCGGTGGGGGCGGGCGTGACGTCAACGCCGTGAAACCGGACGCCAACCAATACTCTGGGCCGCAATTCGACCCGGAAACGCCCAGGAACGTGACGGCGCTGGAGGGAAAATCTGCGTATTTGACATGCAAAGTCAAGAATTTGGATAACAAAACGGTAAGCGCTTCAATTTGTTTTTCTCATCTGCAGTCGATTGTAAATCTCACAGTTGATATCCGTCAAGCATAAACTCCAACGGTTATTGCTAAAGACCGAATTTATATGCTGAAAAAACCTAAAAATAAGACGTTTCTATGCTCTAAAATTTCATCAAAATAATCTTTTTTATACAAAAATATTCTTTTTCATAAAAATGTATTAAATAATGACCAAAAAAAAAAAACAAATAATAGCAGCTTATAAAATGTATGAGGTAGGTAGTTAAATTAATCCTAATTTTTACAACAATTATTCAAACAGTCATATTTAATCTATAATATGGTGATACACTGGTGTATCTATATTGTTTAATTCTATTTTAGATGAGTGATTGTAACACACAGTTACATACCTAAAGTTCAGATTTATGAATTCAAAAAACCATAAAAAAACATGTTTTTAACAATAAAAAATAAAAATAGTAAAAAACGTATTGTATATTGTTGAATAAACGAATATTAGTAAGTATTAAAACAATTCAAACTTAAATAATTCAACCCTATGAATTCAAAAAATAATAAGTAGAGGGATGGATGGGATTTCCAGCATTTTAACTTATCAAAACTTGAAACCTAGTCCACTAGTAGTTGTTACACCTAACAATAATTATTAATTACTGGATTTCATCTGAAGTGTGCGGCACTACCAGTGCTACCTAAGTTGAACGTGGAAACTACCACCATCGCCTATGACTCTAAGATAAGAGATCTTTAGAATTATCACAAATATATAGAACAATATTTTACATTTTAAATATCTGTGATAATAATTTATTTTCTTATCAATATTGCTTTGGGTCATTTGGTCAAGATAAATATGATATTATAATGAAAAAAATATTTTCGCATTTTTTCATAAACAACTACATTTTTTTACAAAATATTCAAAATTAAATCCCGATAAGGCAATATATTCTTAAGACACGTTGTTTGCACAAAATATTCTTTTATCTGAGCTAAAAAATGTTGTATATCAGTTCATAAGTTGATGAAACGCTGAGAAAGCTTACTCAATTACAGTAATTACCCTAATTGGCATATTGCCGCCGTGTTCTAATTAGCAGTGGATAAAACTAATTAAATTTGATCTTTAACAATTTTAATCATTGCATAAAAATCAGTTTATGATAGTATCAAGTGGGTACCTCTCGTGTATTTGAAAATTATTATTATTACTATTAACCGCACTCCTATTTTGTAAATACCACCGATCTATTACAATATTATAAGAAATTAGGTGTATAATATATAAAAGTAATCGATCATCATTATACCGCATATCATAAAGCTATAATATTATCTATTGCAATAATAATATAATATTTAGAACGAAATTGTTACTTAAATCCTCACGCGATCAGTTTGAACTCTTTATTGCAAAAAAAAAAAATAATAATATATTGCTAGAGTATACGTAATTATGGTTGAATATAACTACATTGGCAGATATAAGATTAGACTAAAATTTGTTTCCTATATTGCCATCTATGCTCGTTTATGTATTTATCGTATGCAAAATAATAAATTGTATACTGCTGTAAGTGGTAACGAGCGTGAAACAGAAAATATTATTTAGTCCAAGTAAAACATCCAAGTTCGTGAATTTGTTGTTACTTATCAACTTGAATAAAGGGAAAACCCCGATGAAACAAAATATAATTGAAAAATAGCCTAATATTACATATCAATTTCCTTTTGTAAATAAATTATGTCTTATTAACAATTCTCCTGTGTAATTCATGACTAATAAATTATTACAAATAATATAATATTACACTTGCTTGAACTACTAGTGTTCTATTTAATATATATGGCGGGGGAATTTTAAGGTGGATATTTCATTGAGGTTCATTGTTTTGATGATTTCCTATAGCAATACATGATTTAAGTATAAGCTACCAATAATAATTGTATTGTTTTACACACTTTTTTTGTCGCACAAAAGTACTCGAAAAATAAAAGTTGGTTATAGTTAGGTAAAACAAATTGTTCTTAAAATTGAAAATTAATACTTTATTTTTTGATACTGCAAAATATTTATTCGATGTCGCTGTTTTATTGAAAATTATATGAAACATAAAAATGTATACTGAAAATAACTAACACTATTTACAACGTTTGAAACATTCAGTTATCTACTATGTTTAAGTAAAACAAATTATATAAAATAGATAGATCAAGTAATATGTTTAAAAGGGTTTTAATTATTTTTTTGAAATTATCATTAATTAATTTTGAGGAAATTAATCAGCATTTAAAACGTATGAAAATAATTATTTTTATCGTCCGATGAACTTGAAAATTAATAAACGAGCTAATTAAGAGCTTTTATTCAATGAACTTGAGGAAATTAAAAACTGAATGGCCGTCTAGAGATGATTAAAACTAATGATCTAAGAGGTAAACAATTATGAGTGTTTGATTTTTATATAAGTATCTGGAAAATATTTTCATAAATAATTAAAAGGTATAGTTTAATAGTAAGTTGTTTTGCCAAACACTTGTACTTACTAATGGGTCAGTAAAAATATGACTGGAATAGAACTAGTCTCGTCGAAATTAAATTAATTGACTTTGACGAGGAACGAATCTCAATTAATTAAACGCTTTTCGAGACTTTTCCTCTGCTGTTGCTGTGTATACGCATTATACGTCATATTATTCTACTTTATAATTCTCCAATAGCGTTGCTCGACCCTTTGTGATTTTCAATAATTTATTTATTTCAAGTCAAATATACCAAAATACACATCAAATCAAAATTACCAAGCATCCATAAAATATGCAAAGTATAATATATTTGCAGCAGTATGCACTCAGACGAAATATTATGGCATAACCCTACAAAATATATGTACACTGTACGTGTATGATGTGTTATTCGACTAACAATGAAATCTATAAAATCAGTTCGATGACTTCACTCGGTAGAATATGAACTATGAACGTGTTTATTGGAGTGAATAGTGGGATACGCGAAAACAAATATTAGTCACATAAATATACGCTAAACGGTAGGCAATGAGTATATTATTATTATTTTTAATCAACTTTAAATTGTATTTTTATTTTTAAAATCATTAGTTACTCATGAGTGTCATGACCTACCACACACTATTACTAGAGCTATTACTATTCAATGGTTGAATACAAATTTCACAGATATTACGTTACCATGATATACTCCTCTGAGGCTAGGTACATTGTACATCATTAACTGTAGGTACAGCAGAGCGGTTACCTATATTTTTCCAGCTTTTTGTTTTTTTTTTATGACAGGGTGTTAGCTAAAAACTAAGTTGTAACACTAGTAATAGTAACAGAAGTACTATGTATGTTTATTGACTAATTTTCCGGGATCTAATTATTTCTTATTCACCCACTACTTAAACTGCATGCGTATAAATTCCTGAAGCCTGAAGGCACGAAAATCCTTATAGTGGTGGATCGGGCCAGACGTGGCCGCAGAGAGGAGAGAGAGAGAGAGAGTGAAAGAAAATAAATAATATCGTTTCTACAAGGGCACGTTTTGCTTACGGGAGAATAAGGAGAGGGGTGATGAGAGTGACAATGCGTAACGGGAGGAATGCCATTTCGCTCAGACTCTTCTCGACTAGAAAATACGTGAAAACGTTTGTAACAAAACCATTAGTACCCTATCCGTCAACGCGATAATTCGTAATGAGTTTTTCTACTGCTCTAAAAATGCATTAGTGGGTAGAGCGAAATAGACAAACGTCGACCCGGAGGTCTGTCGCAGCTTACACGTGTAGTTGGTAACGCCTGGTGACACGATATTGTATTCACGCTTAAAACTATTAAATTAATAATAATATTATATAAATTATGAATGCCGAGCTCGCGCGAAGAATACAAAACAAGCTCTGCAGTGCGTATATTATGATGCTAATAGGTTTATAATTACGAGATGTATCGCCGTAATTTAATACGGTGTAATTTTCAGTTCTAAATCTATTATGATATTATTATAACAACAATGGAGTTCGTTGTTTGAGCCCACGGGCCACGGTGCCACATCTATATACCAATACTACGAAATAAACTCAAGATAAGTGCGTTAGAAATTATAATAATTTATAACGTGTTGTAAGTACATAATATTTTACAGCGATACTGTACCTATAATGGGGCTGACATTATGATAATACAATTGCTGTGACCAATTATTATTATAGTCAGCTGCGTTCGAGAAACCCTTGGTTAAAACATATTTTACCTACCTATTAATTTGTGCGAATTTTTTTTTTACGAATTTTAAAGGACGAGGTTAGTACATATTAATGTTTTACCTTAAATTTTTTTTATGCCTTAGGTAGTTGATGTTTAATCCGCGTCAATTGAATTAAGGTGCATTCGTGACAGTTATAATATTTTATTAAAGTAAATATGAAAAGTACTTAATATTTTAATTTAATTTATTATTTACTAGAATATCTATCAACCACGTACCTGTTATAGGTTAATAGGTAAATACAGAACACACCAGAATATTTTTTAGAAGACTTTTCTTTTTATTTGTACAAGTTCCATTTATTTTATAAATTATTAAGACTGCATTTTATCTATGTATTATAGGCTCTTATAGGCTCTTATATGTGTTTATACTTCTATAGAAGTATAGGAACGAAAGTATATATTTAATATATTGTATTATAGAGAACACTCCATATTGTTTGGTTAGTCCACTATAGACTATAATACAATGGAAAAACAAAACTAATGATGAAACAGTTCGTACCTAACAGTTCTCAGTATCAGAACTATTTCCACTTCGTCGTAATTGTATTTTATATTCTACTATAAAACAAACGTTGGAAAAACATTAATTTATTTTATTTTGTAAATTGACAACAATATTAAATTGCAAGTATGTACTTATCTAATTTTTAATTACGCTCCACCCCTTTGACATGGAAAATTTAATAATAATAATTTAAA